CAGGCTGGCCTCGATCTCACAGAGATCCACCTGCCTCTGTGGAGTGCTGGGATTAAAGGCGTGCGCCACCACACCCGGCTTCGGCTACCTTTCTTATGCAGCCCAGGCCCAACTGCCCAGGGATGGTGCTTCTTCCGGGCTGGGCCCTCCTCCATCAACTAGCAATCAAGAAAATGCCACAGACACAGCCACAGGCCAAACGACACAGGAACTTCTTCAGTTGAGACTCCCTCTTCCCAGGTGACGCTAGTCTGTGTCAAGTTGAAAACAACCAACCAGCCTCATCTAAAGCTCAAAGCCCTTCCGGCAGTGAGTAGCCAGTGCACAGCCTCCAGGGCCAGCGGTGCAGAATCGTCCCCATTAAGTTCTAATGTGGGGCCACCAGGCCTGGTCCCACAAAAGTCAGCCTGCCCACATGGGTGGTAACCCTTCCCAGGGACCCTCTGAGTCACTAGGTCACTCCAAAGTGACCCTCCTTACAACTCTGCCAGGGCCCAGACAATGGGACTTCCAGTGACTTGGCCACCTCAGCAATGGCTGGTGGCTGCTCTGGGGAGGGCCTGTCATTCATTGTGTGGCACAGACATGAGGTGCCAGGGCAGGGGCAAAAATGAAATGCCCTTACCTAGCCCGTCCCGCACTCAGGGCCACTCCACAAACACCAGAAGAGAATCCAGAAGGCAACCAGAGCATGGCGTACACACTGAACAGGCAGTGTCCAAGACTGGGCCTGGCTGGCACTGGTAACAGATGCGGTACAGACCTTGCCAGCCTCAGGTTGCTGTTAGGTGACTGGTCGGGCAGAAAGGTGATACACGGCAAGGAAGGGGGCGTCCACACTCCAGTCACCCCAGTCTACACATGATAACAGCTAGTTACCCCCACACGAAAGAAGAGCTCTGGCCACCTCAGGCAGCCAGGGATAGGGTGGGACTTGGAGCTCCCCGCCCCCCGACCAGCTGTGGTGATCTTTGCTGGCCTCAGTGACCGTTCACCTCTGAGCTGCCCAAGGATCTTCCAGAAACAGAGCCTAGGGAAGAGCGGTAAGGGCCTCAGCTTCGGGTCACAGTGAGGGCCAGTGAGGCCCTGCTGCAGTGTGCAGCCAGGGCAGCCACACAGCGTCTTGTTCCAGTGCCTCTAGACACAGCCCCCTCCCCAGGCAATGGCAGGGCACAGTGCACTCTGGAAGCCCATCCTGCACAAGCCTATCACAACAGGACTCAGGGCACAGCTGGGCCTCAAAGCCCACATGGTATTCCATGTCAAGATGGGCTCTATCCCAGAGCACACGGTATACCTCAGAGTGAGCGCACCTGTGCCTGCCGTGCAGCGTACCTTTCTAGTACAAGCAGACCCCACCCCGACAGCCAGTGACAGACCAGAAACCCATGTGCACAGGGACACAGATGCACTCAGGTGTCCCAGTGGGCCAGGCCAGGACAGGGCCCTGGAACACCCCGCCAGGAACTGCCTATCTTTGAAATGCACCTCCTCTTGATCAAGACTCTGTGCCCAGCTACCTGCGGGAACAGTTGTCAGAGGGAACAGGATCCGGGCGAAGTGCGCACTCGGGGGAGGAGGGCGGCGGTTCCCGCAGGTTCAACCACAGTGGGAAGCCAAGCAGGGCTGAAGAAAGGCAGGAACCATGCAGTCCCCGGAGCTGCACACCACCTAACATGAGCTCCGAACGTGGCCCTGGGTTAGAGAAGGAACTTTCTCTCGGTCACTAAGAAGTACAACTCTAGACAAAATGCCGGAGTTGGAGCCCCAACGTCCTCGTTTATACAACTAGGTCAGATGGCTGGGATCTGATGTGGGAAGGGGGCTGCATAATTGTAGGACTCACAGTCAGGGCCAGAGGGGCCTCATGGGCGGTGAACACCAGACACTACCTGCCACCCACCTTCACTCCTGCAGAGGCCACCAGGTCCCATCCACTCAACTCAGTCTCAGGGGCACTGGGCCTTGGCCCCACACAGCTCCCCACTGGATGCACTAGCCTAGACCTTTACCAGCTTGGCCCATCTGCAGGGCCTGGCACAGCAGCCATCTGGCCCCAAGAGCCATCTTCACAACTACCTCTGGCTCACTTAACTGCCCTCCACCCATGGGCACCTACACTCCTGGGCTTGGGCCACCCACAGGATCTGCCACATCCCTCTCTCCCGTTTCCTCTACATCTGTCTCCCTTCTTACCTGTCTCCCCCTTGACCTATCTCTCCTCCCAAGTCTCTCTAACCTGTCTCTTCCCCAATCAGCTCTCTGCCCACCTGCCTCACCCTCAAGCCTACTTCTACCCCAAGATTCCTCCTTAGCCTGCCAGCCAACAGAGCTCCTAGCCAACTTCTTAAAGCCATTTGGGAATGGAAGGGATGTCTCAGGTCTCTCAACCTGACCTGTGAGGCCAGTCAGGTGAGCTTGAAGGCAGCCCCTCTCTTTGGTCTGGCTGACCCCTTTCTGAGGAGTGGAGGAGTCTGTCAGCTCTATCTCCTCCAGATTCCACAGGCCCTCCTGGACTGCAAGTCCACCCAGAGGGCAGAGCTCCAGCATCGGCAGGAAAGTGCCCTGCTCTGCCTGACAGGCAGAGTGACGTTGCCGTTGCCGCACAGCCTATGCAACCCTCCCTCCAGTCCTACCTCTGCCTCCTGAAGCACCTGGCTCTCCCCGCCAAGTCCAGTGTCTGGGGGTGCCCTCAACAGCAGGGGCTGTCTTCCATCTCTGCAGGGACAACTCAGGAGGGGGCTGGACTAACAAGTCTCAGATCAGGGAAAAGTCCCACAGTGTCCTTGCCAGTGGATTCCCACCCCAGCCCAGGGATACCTGCCCCTGGTGGATAGCTCTAAAACCCCCCAATCCCTGAACAGCTTCATGTGGCCAGAATTCCTGAGGTTTCCAAGCACTCTGGCTTCACTCGGCACCTGGACCCAAGGTGGGCTAGCCATCAGAAGAGATAGCCAGGGTTGCCAAGGGTGACTCTACAGGGACACACATGGTAAGAAAGGAGATGACTGCTCGACCACAGTCACAGCAGCTGGATGGAGAGGCAAACAACAGCAGAGTGATTGGAGCAAGTCCGCTGGGCCCAAGCCAGCCAGGCAAGGCTGAGCCACTGCCTGATGGGTGATACAAAGGAACAGGTACATTGAACCCTACCAGGCCTGGAAGGCTGAGGGAAACACGCCTCCCACTCCATCTGACTCCACGGAGGAAGCATCCTGGGGTCCACCTTCTCCTGGGTAATGGGCTCACACACCAGTCCACAAGGCTTACTACTATGAGACCATCCCATCCACAACCCAGAGGAATGGGTTCATGTGGACAGACAGACACAGTAGAGTAGCAAAGGTTAGCATTAAAATGAGCAGGTGGATGGGAGCCGAGGGCCATCTATGTTTGTGTCCCCACGACACCCACATGGTCATGGCCACAAGAAGTCCTCAGATCAGCATTAAGCAGGGCAGCAGTGGACAGAGGTCTGGCCTGCTCTCTCTCACCAAGCTTTCCTGGCATGAAGTCTGTCCCAGCCCCATCCAGGGATAACACACAGGCTTGCCGCCATTTGGTGCTGAGTGGCCAGGCCCAACAAATGCACATTCAGGGTCCACATCTACCAAGATGAACCCTCAACAGTAGAAAAAGACAGGTACCCTGGGCAGCCTATTGGGTTGCACATTTGCACCCTGATGGTTGGAACTCCCGAGAAGACTGAGGGCCCAGGAGTAACGCTGCAGATCTTTGCTGGCCATCGGCTATCACCGTGTCATTAACCGTGAGACCGCGTAACTCCACAGAGAGGACAGGGAGGCCAGCCCCTGCCCACAGAGACCACGAATATCACACATCGTTCACTGTTGTCAACACTTACATGCCCAGGGCTCCTTATAACAACATTTTATTGGTGCAATAATTAGATTATTTCACTGCCTTCTGCATTCTGCTGCCCTGGGGCCCTTCCCTCACCAGGAATATCACAAACCACAGTTGCTCATCCCAGGAAACATGCATATCTGGAACGCAGTGGGACACTAGCTGCTCGCGTCTCCCTCTCAAGGCCAGGGCTCAGTGCCTTGGGGTTCCCTGCCCCGCTTAAGGGTCAGCTCCAGGGCAGGAAGATACAGTTCCTGGGGGCCACTACACCTCCTGCCACTGCCTCAGTGACATCACAACCAGAACCTGGCCCGGCCCACTTTCTTTCCAAACACCGCCTCTATCACTGCCTCCCTGTGGCCCCGGGGTGCTTACAGAGGACCCCAAAACCCCCACCGGAATCGCACTGCACCCTCCTGCCATCCCCCACTCCCCAACCTGCACAGACTCTGGGGAACTTCTCCAAAGGGAACGGAGATGTGGGCAGTGCCAGTCGAACCTTTGGACAGGCAGAAGACAGGCCAGTCCTGGGAGAAGAAAGAAAATGGCTGAGTCCCAGCCTCCCACAAAGACGACTGTGTGAATGCGCCTGGCTGACCAGATGAGGGGGCTGGCTAAGCCCAGCCCGTCCCGGAAAGCTAGCCAAATGCAAGGTGGCTGGGCTCACTGTTGGCCTAGGGGAGAGCTGTGCAGAGAGGGAACCTGCCTGGGTAAAGACAGCGAGGGCCCTTGGGGAAGATAGCTTCTGCTGACGGCCCCGGTCTGTTCCAACAGCCAGACGGGGATGTATGGCCCAGGCTCAGAAACTGCCACCCTCTCTCTCCCCAGGGGAGCCCAACGTCGCTGACGCTCAAGCCTGGGACCGGGAGGAAGGCGCTGTCCAACCCTCCTACGGTGGCTGCGCTCTCACTCCCACCGCAGAGGGAGGTCCGGGCTTGGAAGAGTCTGGCCCAGTGGGCCGGGCGGTGGCCGCCGTCCGGAGGTGGGGGTCGCGCGGCCGGGGCGCAGCTGCTCAGGCAGCACGCCTATTAACGCGGCCGCGGCAGACGGCAGATGGGCGCCCCGCTCGTCCCCCTCCTCCCGCAGCACAATGGGCCCGGCGATCGGGCGCACAATGCGGGCCCCGGGCGCACCTGCAGAGGGACCGCCAGGAACCCGCCAGGCCCGGCTTGCGCTACCCAGTCCACCGTGCGCCCGGGTCCGGCGCCGCGTGTCCTTGGGCCGCGCCCGCCCGACTGCAGCCACCGGGGCTGCGGGGCTCCACCGCGGGACCCCGGCGCACCGCGGACGGGGGCGC